ATGAGATGTTTTGTCTTGAAACATAATCATGGATGTTTTGGGATGATGTGGAGGCTGGATAAATCTTATCCGCAGCCTCAGGGTTTCAGATACATCAAGTGCTGTTTTAATTAGACCAGCAGCAAACGCACACACACACACACACACACACACACAGACATAAACACACATGAAAACCCTGAAGGGTTACGTGTGGGAAAAAAATAATTAATTTTTCAACTCTATTTCTGTTGTTTGTTTTGTTTTTTCCTGCTCTGTGTAACAACACAATTTTTTTCTTCTTCTGTTCATTTCATGTAATCAAGGTGTTTCGAAGGTCAACATATTAAAAAATAATCTACTGTCAGCTTCAGCCACTGGGGGCACTTTATTTATTTATTTATTTTGCTGTAACATAAAAAAGTACCAAATCAAGTATAAATTATAGTTTATTTATTTAATTATTTATTTATTTTGCCTTTGTATAGTTGACATAACAGCTATGAACTTTTCAAAATTAAAAATTAAATTTTCTGTCTGGTTAGACCTTTCTTTTCATAATTTTTAAATATTCCATTTAGTCTTTAAAATAATATAAAGTTAAAACTGTATGTACAATAGTTAGTAAATAGTAAAATGCTATTTAGACTGCACAGTCAGATCAGATAAGTTTTTTAATATTTATTCATTATTTAATTATTTCGACAAAATATAAAAAGTATAAATATATTTTTTGAAAAGTTTGCATATGTGTTTTTTGTTGAGCATCATATTTGATGCATCAGGCTTTTATGGCTCATATAGTCTGATACAGTGAGAATATGAAGTAAAAACAGCTCAATTTTATTCAGAGACTCAAACTGAGCAAAAATATGCAATTTAGTGCAGATACTGATATTTATGTCAAAAAGTAAGTTTACATTCTGATGCTTGTAATGTAAATCAATGAGATCTTTATAACAGTACAGCAGATACTGACATAAAATGATAAACATATCAGTCGTCACTCAATAATATGTCTCAGTAAGATGAGATTTAAATGATCCAAAGATATAATGCATTGCAATGCAATGATGATTGAGATATGAAGACATAAACGTTCCTCAGAAGATGTGAGATGTTCTGGAGGCTTGTGAAGATCATTCCACCGCTGAGGAACAGTGAAAGTAAAGCTTCTGGAAACAAACGCTCCTCAAAAGATCCTGATGATTTTTCTTAAAAAAAAAAAAAAGATTGATGGAGAATCAAGTAAAGCTGAGCTGCTTCAGTCCAGTAAGTGTTCTTCTGGAAATATTACTGCACTTATTCTGACGTTTACTTGATAAAAATCAGTCAAGATTTGACAGCAATTTGATCATTTAGATGCCTTTGTAATTTACATATCAAATATGACACAGTATGATTTATAAGGTTAAAAGATTATTTTACCAGAAAAAGAGAAATATGAAATAGACTTTAGATTTAGTTTACCTAAAAAAAAACAAATAAAAAAAACAAAAACAAATGTAGAGGTGCAGAGACATATGAATGCTGATCTATCAACTATTCATCACAGTGATAAATATTCAGTAAACTCCATCTGAAAGTGTCATAAGTTCTGGGCCGAATACACTCCAAACTTTCCCCCAAAAATCTAATTTTCAGTCTTTCACTTCAAACTTTCTACATCTGTTTCTTGGTTGTTGATAGTAATCATAGAGTTCCTCCAAAAATGTTCACACCGCTCATGGTTTTAAAAATAATATCCATTGACTAAAGTGGTAGACATAGACTTCCATAGTATGGGAAATAAAAAACTAAAAAAACTATGGAAGTCAATGGCTGCCGGTAACTGTTTGGTTACTAACATGCTTCAAAATATCTTCTTTTGTGTTCATACAGAAGTCACATGATGCTTTGTGTGACAAACAGACACAAATTTAAGCCAATATTCATGTAAAACTGCATCTTCATGTAAACTCCAATGAAATTCACCACAAATAGTCAGTGATTTATACACTATATTTTATGTCTTCTGAAGCCATAAGGTAGCTTTTTTTAGAAAAGAAATTGAAGTTATTTATTTTTCCAATGAAAATATTTCTCTTTCAGTAATTAACATTCATATTGTGCCCCTTAATTACATGTAATTGTTCATCTGGATCTGAAAAGCCCTGCACTGAAATGTTAAACAGCATCACAAATAACCCAGCGACCTTTTCAAACACCTTCCACGTCTATTGTGTCGCATTAAGCGCTTACTGGGCAATTTATGTAGCTGTAAACTGTATTTCACTGCAAACAGCCCCGTGAAAGAGTTTTGATTGATTATCTTCTTGCCGGGCATTAGCTGTAGCGCTAACACGAGCACATGCGCTTTCTTTTATCCACTATCAGACTCATTCTTCATCCGCTCTCTTTTCTATCTGTGTCCTTGATAAGTGAAAGGGTTTCTCCGCATGGGTTTCTTAATGAATCGATGGTTTCCATGGCGATGACAGGTCAGTGATGTCGTTAGGTGTTCGTTAAGCATGTGAAGTGAGTTAGCTTGTGTTTAACTGCAAGGCTGTGGCGTTTTAGAGACGCAATAATCAGTCCGCTAGCTTTTTTGTTGATATGAAACGCACAACAAAGCCCTTTTTATTTCTTTTTCCTCATATAAATTCACTCTTATTATACACAACTGCGTCTGTCATCCTCCACAAAGGCGAAGCCATGAGGAGTCTGAAATGTAGACTGATTTTAGTTTTTCCAGCAGTTTAGTTGAGAATTGTTGCTTTACACATCGTCCCATAGGAATCTATTGGAGATTCGCCGAAACATTGTGATTTTCAGTAAAATTGGATATTATATGGACACATTCTTAAATCAGATACTGATATTAATGTGGCCAGAAAGTAAGATGACATTCTGATGCTTGTAATGTAAATCTTTATAACAGATACTTACATCAAATTATATAAATATCAGACGTCACTCAATAATATGTCTCAGTATGATGAGATTGAAATGATCCAAACATATAATGCAATGCAATCCAATGATGATTGAGAGATGAAGAAATAAATGTTCATCTGGAAATATAACTAACAATATGAAAGGTATTCTGACATTTTTTTAGTTTATTTTACAATGATTTTTTTTTACAGTGTATGCATACAGGACTATGGGTCCATGCATATTAAGCTAAATAAACAACCCCTCCACATCATAATAGTCCTTTATAGTGTGTAATGTGAGTGTAATTTGCTCATTTCTGACTCTATCATGCATGCATTTGCAGTCATTATCATACCTGCATTGCTACGGTACTCCCGCTTCTGACCAATATTTGGCTTTAAGATTTGTTGGCAAAGCTCCCGTTTAATTTTGCAGAGAGGAGAACAGGAGATGATGGCAGATGAGGAAGATTTGATGTGATATCTAGCAGGCTGCAGTCATTTGCGAGGGCTGAGAAATAGACTTAATTGGAGGGAAAAAGGACCCTGTGAAACAGTTTGATGAACACCGTTTTCAAATATATTTCCTATTGAAATTTGAGGCAGTGAGCTACGAGGTTGTTAATGTCTGGTATAGCCAACTTATTTTTAAAATCATCCTATTCAATGGCAATTTCTGGTGAAAAACTACATTACACAAAAAAGGCAGTAGCGCCAAACACTTGTCCAAAAATCCAGTAGACAAAAACATATGGTGCGTAGATCCAAAATATACAAAGATTCAAATATGAAAGAGATCCGCACTCCTCCAAATGCAGCTAAAAAAGCTTATTCCATTTATTATTCAGAGGTCACAAAAATATGTAGAAAGAAGTGCAAAAGTGCAGAACGTTTTCGGGGATTATCCCTTACTCAGTGCCATGTGACATTTTTGTGATCTCTGAATAATAAATGGAATAAGCTTTTTTAGCTGCATTTGGAGGAGTGCGGATCTCTTTCATCTTTGAAAAACTACATTACCCATGATTCTGTAAACAATCTCCACCAATCAGAGAATAGAACTCTTTAGCCCCGCCCATTCGCACTGTGATTAACGCAACAGAATCTCCCTGCACTTTCAAACTACTTAAATATTTGTATGTATCTGCATATTTTAAAATACATTTAAAATGTTGTTTCTGTATACACAGTCAACATCTTAAGTCAGTTGGTTAGTATCTGTCCTTTTTTTCAATTGTAATCTGTGATGCTTCATGGGATTGTAGTTATTTCGCCTCATTAAAGTCTAAGATCACTTATTCTTCTTTGTTGTTTTTTTTTATTCATTCATTTATTTATTTATTTTTGTCTGATTTTCAAATACTTTTTTTTTTTGCTTCAAATTAAAGTTTGCGATTTTCGTAATTCACCTCGTGGCTGGTTAGTTTGGTTCATGGCTTATAACTCTTTAACAAAGTCTTATTAAAAACCCAATGGGGACAATTAATAATGTGAGAAACTTCCTGAACCAGAGAATTCATTTGCGCTTTATTATAGGTATAAACAGTTAGTTCTTGTCTTCAAATGTGATTGGTTGAATGTCGTTCTCAATGTGCTGACATCACTGGGATGTTTTACTGATATGCGATGTATGAAATGCACGAAATTCTAACTTTATTTTGTCATTAAATGCAAAGCGTGATGTTTGTCTTCTGTTGGAGCTATTTTTGTTAGCAAGAAAGGAATAAACGGGCTAACTGGGCAATTTTGGTTTGATAGATGTGGACTAAAAGCCACAAAACCACCGCTTTGATTCCAAGGAAAAAGCATTACTGGAGTGCTTATGTTCCTGCTCTGTGAATCAGCGTCAAATAGATATTCATTATATAAATCACAAGCCTCCAACAGTGTAACCCGTGTGTGTGCGTGTGTCAGAGCGAGAAACACACGGTTTTATTATTCCAGTGTGTTATTCTGGTTTGTTTGGAAGAATCTGTGTGTGTATGTGAATGTGTCAATCTCATGCACTGTTAAAGGTGAAAATGTGCAGACATTTAAAGTGATTCTGTCTTCATTTACTCACTAACTTCCCAAACCCGCACACAAAAATGTGAAATTTTGGAGAAAATCCCAAATGAATTGGCACTGGGACTGACAAGCTCTAAAATACATACATGCATGCATATATAAAAAAGAGCAGCTGTATAATGTCTCTTTGTAACAGACACCCTGCAGAACCTCACGGCCCGAAACGTGACCGACTTCCTGCTCAAGAACTACCAGAAATCAGGAAAGATACGGTAACAACACACACTCATGCCACAGGATGTGCAGAATGAAATGAGATCAAAGCAGCATGATCGCCAACATGTGTATGTGTGTGTGTGTGTGTGTGTGTGTGTGCAGGTACGGCGGGCTCGCGGGAGGGGCTCTGCTAGTGTGTAAGAAGCGCAGCGGCGAGAGTCTGGAGCTGAAGGAGCTGATTGAGCTTCAGCATTACCAGCTGAGAGACGAGTCGTCAGGAGAGAAGGACAGCAAGAAGAGCAGCTGTATAATGTCTCTTTGTCACACAAACCTAGCAAAATACTTTGACTATCTATTGGAGTATCAGAACTACTGTAAAAAAAAAAAAAAATCACCAGGAAATGATTTTTTTCCTTGCTCAGTAAATCTATACTGTACGTTTCATTATTTCTCATACAGGTTTACAACAACATGAGGATGAGTGAATGATGACAGGATTTAAATTTTTCGTCATCACTGTAAGAGGTGTTTCTGGTTGATCTGATTCTTGATGAATGAGTTACATTGATTCATTCAGCAGTGATGTTGTACTATTTATATACTATTATAGTATTTATTACTTTGAATTATCTTTTTTGAATTTCCTATTTTGAGTTTTCATTTTAAATTTTAGTAATTGTAAGGTTTTTGTATTTTTTTTCGGTTTTTGTATAACACATTTCTATCTGACATTTATTTTATTTTCATTTTAGTTTCAGTAATTTTAATACTGCAACTTAAACGTATTTCTGTTAGTTGTCAAGGCAACATTTGACATTTTCATTTAAGTTTTTCCACCTAATATTTATATTTTATTTTATATCGATTACTGAATCGAATTTATTTTATATCGATTAGTTAACAATAACAGCATGATATTCAGTAAAATGTATGCTATTTATTATTATTATTATTATTATTATTCTGAGACTAAAAGTTTCTAAACCTATCTCCTCCTAGGCCTCCTAGGCCACAAGCCCCAAACTC